TATTAACCTTTTCATTTAAAAAATAAATTAAAACAAACAAAATTCATTGATTGGTTGAGAGGGAGGTTGCATGGGTTGTATAAATAGGGAGGGTTGTAAAAGAAATATACCCTATATATATATATATATATATATATATATATATATATTGATTCTAATTTTAATTCTTTATATTGATTGTCATAATTTTCTATTTTACGTATTAATTATAATTATGTGTGTGTGTGTGTTATTTATTTACTTTATTTAGTTTTTTAAGTGATATTACATGTAATAAGTGTTTCATTTATTAATGAGAGAGTTAATAATAAGTATCTAATTATGTACATTGATGATAACACTTGGGATCTGTAAGTCCACTATAAGATCAATCTTCAATAAACTCTATGAATCCATGGCAGATTTGATGAACATTAAGAACACAATGAGAGGAGAGTTGAGAGAGAAAATCAAACCTTCAAAGATTAGTCAAACTCTATTATTACGTATCTGATTTTACAATGAAGCTCTTACTAAAGATTACACTAAGAAAAACTAATTATAGGCTCAAAGTTAAAACCCACTAGTCAAAGTCAAACTTTACACAAAGTCAAACACGATGACTATTTTACAATTATAGACAATTTTATCTTTCAAGACGAATACAATTTACACTGAAATTCAGTCCTAACATTCTCCCCCTTTGTATTCAGGCTTGAAAGAATTTACACGCTTTAAATCTTGTTTGAACTTTGTCTCTTTAAGCTCTTTATGACATCTACGAAAACAATCTTTACTTCAAAATCTTCAGACGATCTTTTGTTGAGAAAATCTTCTAACATTCTCCCCCTCGAATGTAGAACAGCGATGATCTTCTCATTAGACAATGTAGAACAAAATCAGCAAAGATCTTCAAAAATGATCTTCAAGATATGGTCTTGAAAGAATTTTCAAACAAACAAATCACTAACATTCTTCTTCAAAAATGAACTTCTTCAGATAACGAACAAATTTTCTCTTTAAAAGATCTTTATCAGTAAACTGTTGTAAGGATGATCTTCACATTCAAAAACTCTCAGACATTTTAGCACATGAATAATCTTTAGTAATAATCTCCAGTCATACTCCTTTTGAGTCTTTTGCTGACTTTGATGTTACTCCCCCTTGATCTTTACAACATATTCCCCTTATATCGTTCGAAATTGGACATTTCATTCATTATATCATACTCCCCCTTATGATGAAATGAGAATCATTACATCATACATTTGAATGAATGAAATCTTCAGCGAAAGCCGTCAATTCATGAAATTGTAAGTAGATCTTTTCAAATCCACTTGTATAATCTTTTCAGCTTAAGGGAATGAGAAGGTAACAACCAATTTCAACTTATGAAATTGTTGTCAATCTATAAAAAAGATTGGCCTATGAGTATAACAGATATACTCAGTACAACGAATGTACTTCATATATGAGACTTTATGAGGTTCATCTCACTAGGTCTTTCATTCAATCATCGATATCTTAATAATAGCATATCTATGAATGTTTCGGCAAAATAACATATAATTTGCAAAATCTGTGTAGTGTAGAAAGATAAAGCAACATATGCTTCTGTTTAGGCTCAAAAAAATAAACCGTGTGGACTACACAAATTTATCAGACTCAATTAGTGATCAAAAAGACTTGAAGGGGGACATATATCCTTCTGTTTCAATATCAACTTTCTTCGAATGAGAAACTGATAGAATGTGAGCTGTGTGTCCTAAGTGTTATTGAAACACTTATCTGTTAAGAGATAAATGAGTAGCTAGTGGGGTTGTGACAAGAATTGGCCTGGGCTTTGCCTTTTTCAATATTAGTCTCGAAAGAATTGAGAACTAATAGATTATGTGGTTTGCCCGGTAATTTGAAGTTTAAAACAAGATTCTTGTAATCTTTTAATCCTGACATAACTCTCGTCAATTCTTTTGGCTCACAACAACTACCCCTCTCTTTTTCATTTTAAGCTCTTCACACAAACCTTTTTGTATTTAATGCTCACTCAGATATGGTTGTCCTCTTGGATAGGTCTGTTGGTTTTGACATTCCTAGAGGTATTTATGTTAAGCACTCAGTCCCTCCTAAAATTATTATAAGCTCAGTTGATCAAAATGGTTGATCAAAAATATTATTTCTGTAAAGCACAATGATCAGATAAAATTGATCAAGAAAAATATATCGTTTAAGTACAAACAATGAAGGAGTGATTTACGAAACCAAATTATTCAGTATATGAGAGAAATGAATGAACATCTGTAAGTACGAGTTTACAGAATCTGAATATTCAAAGAATTATATAATGTATATCAATCAAAGTAAAAAAAATCAGAAAACAAACTTTGAATACTAACGAGCGTATTATCACCGAAAATGATAGTATTATAAGAGACGTGATAATAATAGTTTGACGAATAGCTGAAACAGGTATTGGAATTATGTACGATGAGAAATTACGCAAGTAAAATCTCAAGAAATACCTGTTCAGAAAAATATACTCTTTTCCAAAAAAGTTGTCACTTTCCGAAAACATTTATTTAAAATTTCTAGAAACTCCCCCTAGAAAATAGATTTAAGTAATGTTTCAGTTCAGCTCAAAAATTTAAAAAAAATTTGGAAACATGTTTAGCACGGGTCCTAAACTGGGTGTTTAGAAACCACAATCGTTTAAGCACGGGTCCTGAACTGATATATTCAGAAACCTTTATGTTTGAACAGTATACAACTCCCCCTGAATTTGTGCATCATTGGATGAATTTTTGATCAGCGCAGTAATGACGCACCTGCAAAATAAGATCAGACAGATTTTGGTACCCAAATGAACTTGGGTCCTTCTTTGTTAGTATCAGGTTGTGGGATGTTATAACTGCCAAACCATCTGTTCTTATTAGATATTTTATTTTTCACGCTTTTAACAGGATGATCATAAATGAAGTAAGATCCATACCAGTTATTGTAATCATACCTGTTCTTACCTTTCCAACTTTTCTGATATCTATTGTCTGCATTCCATCTGTTGTACCTCCTCCTGTTAAAAAAATCAGTAGTTTTGCATGTGGAGCACATGATCATTTTTTTGCTAAGATTTATCAAATCAGTAGTGGATCTCATAAAACAAGAAAGATTATTATTAGTAACAACAGAATTTCGGGACAAAACAGATTCAGACTTATTTGCCCAAATGCTTTTAACTTTAGAAGAATGATAATTGGGTGATCCAATGATGTACCCTTGATAGTACTAACTTGAAGAACGAGAATAGTTCTTAGAAACAGTAGATTTAGGACTGCTTGAATAACTGTTGGACTTAGAACTGTCATAACAGCTGGTTTTACACTGTGAAGGAGAACTAGTTGAGCTTTGAGCACAAGAAAAGTCTTTGACTTTCTTTAAAAGCTGGTCTCGTTCATCAACAACTAAATCATACTTCTCTTTGAGTTTAGTTCTCATCTTCAATTCAGTTTCAAGTTCTGTCTTCAGATCAGACAATTTCCTTGAAGTATCCAGGAGTTTACCTTCTAACTCCTTCAGCTTCTCAAATTTCTTCTTCTGATTGTCAAACTCTCTTCTCTCTTCATCTGAGCTGCTTTTCTCATTTTCAGAAGCAATGTCAAGCCACTTTTTCTTTTCTGCAAGCTCTTTAGCTATTGCTGCATATTTCTTTGCAATATTTCTCTTCTCAAGAGCGAACAACTTTTTCTCTTTGTCCAAAGCCTTTTGCTTTTTAGCAATGCAGTCAGATAATTCTTGATTTTGGCTCAAACATTCTTCTTTGATGTCGTTCTTCTCTTTATCGATCTTGGCTCGTTCCAAGATAATCAGCTGCTCAAAATCCGAGATTTGCTTTAAAAGCAATTTAGCGTTCAGCTCAAGAGAGTTGATCTTATCTATACTATATTATAAAGCATATTATTGAAACAAGAAAAGTTGTATGCTAAGATGTCAAAATGTGAATTTTCGCTACGAGAGGTTCAGTTTCTGGGGCATGTTATTTCGGAAGAAGGCATCAAAGTAGATCCTCTTAAGATTGAAGCCATTGAAAAATAGGAAGCGCCGAAGACCCCAACCGAAATCAGAAGTTTTCTTGGATTGCCCGAAATTATCGTAAGTTTATTCAAGACTTCTCTCGTATAGCCACTCCATTAACTTAATTGACAAAGAAAAATGTAAAGTATGAGTGGGAAGAAGCACAAGCTCAGGCCTTTCAAATGTTAGAAGATAAATTGTGCAGTGCACCAATTCTATCTTTGCCAGATGGAATGAAAGATTTGGTGGTATTTAGTAATGCATCAAAGATGGGCTTGGGTTGTGTATTGATGCAACGTGGGAAGGTAATTACTTATGCTTCAAGACAGTTAAAAGATCATGAAAAGTAGTATCCTACTCATGATATGGAGTTAGCAGCTGTAATTATCGCTTTGAAGATTTAGAGGCACTACCTATATGGGACGATATTTCAAATTTTCACAGATCATAAGAGCTTACAACATCTGTTTCATCATAAAGATTTGAATATGCACCAAAGACGATGGTTAGAATTGGTTAGCGATTATGATTGTGAAATTTTGTACCATCCAGGAAAAGTAAACGTGGTGGCTAATGCTTTAAGTCGTCAAGAGAAAAGTGGTACCATGAAGGCTATAGCTTTAAGAGTTGAGTTACTACCGAGTATCCAAGAAGAATTGCAAGAATTCCAAAGGGAAGCTATGAAGGAAGATAAAATTAAACAAGAAAGACTAGGTAGAATGGTATCTGAATTTGAAAAGAATGACAAAGAATTTTGGAGTTTCCAAAATAGAATTTGGGTACCGTCTTACGGTAATCTCAGAGAGCATATCTTAAATGAAGCTCACAACTCACGTTTTTCTATTCACTCGGGTACAAACAAAATGTATTGGGATCTGAAGCAATACTATTGGTGGCCAAGCATGAAGAAAGATATAGCAAAACATGTTGAGCAATGTATGACATGTCTCCAGGTAAAGATAGAATACCAACGTCCATATGGTAAATTGCAATATTTAGAAATTCCAGTTTGGAAATAGGATCACATCACTATGGATTTCATAACCAAATTGCCAAAAACATCAAAAGGTTATGATGCCATGTGGGTGATTGTAGATCGGTTATTCAAATATGCACATTTCTTACCAATGAAATAAAAAATATTCAATGGAACGATTGGCAAAATTGTATATTGATGAGATAGTGTCACGTCATGGTGTTCCATTATTAATTTTTTCCGACAGGGATAGTCGATTCACCTTTATGTTTTGGAAAGGTTTTCGAAGAGAGATGGGTTCACAGATTAAGCTAAATACAACTTATCATCCTCAAACAGATGGACAAAGTGAACAAACTATCCAAACATTGGAAGATATGCTTAGAGCTTGTGTTATTGATTTTGGGGGATCATGGGATAGTCATTTGGCTTTGGTGGAATTCGCTTACAATAATAGCTACCATTCAAGTATTCAAGTTGCACCTTTTGAGGTTCTGTATAGACGAAAGTGTCGAACTCCTTTGTGCTGGAACGAGATGAGAAACAGTTAGCTGGGCCTGAGCTAGTCCAGCAAACAGCGGATAAAATTGGCCTAATACAGAAACGAATGAAAGTGGCACAAGATAGGCAAAGAAGTTATGCCGATAAACTTCGGAAACCACTTGAGTTCCAAATTGGTGACAAAGTGATGTTAAAGATATCACCTTGGAAAGGAATAATACGCTTTAGTAAAAAGGGAAAGTTAAGTCCAAGATTTATTGGACCATTTCCTAGCATTGAAAGAGTTAGAGAGGTGACATACAAGCTAGAACTGCCATCAGAGTTAAGTGGTATTCATAACACATTTCATGTGTCGAATTTAAGAAAGTGTTTAGTAAACCCAGAAGTTGTGGTGCCTCTACCAGAAATTAAAATTGATGAAAATTTATGTTTTGAAGAAATTCCTGAAGCCATTATTGACTTCATGATAAAGAAGTTGCAGAATAAAGAGATTGGATTAGTAAAAGTACAGTGGCATTATCATAAAGGGGTGGACGCCACATGGGCAATCGAGTCAGAAATGCGAGCAAAATATCCTTATTTGTTTACTTAGTGGAATTTTGGGATGGAATTCTTCTAAGGAGAGGATAGTGTAACATTCAGTTTTCAGATTATAGTTGATCGGTTTAAAGTTATGTGGCAATGGAAAGTTCAGGGTTGGTTTATAGTGGGGAGGTTTTGAGATTTTAATTTGTGAATCATATTTTTTCCTCTTAAGAGTATTATTGGGTTTTGATTATTATTTGGTATATTTATATATATTTATATAAAGGGGAGATGGCGGTTGTCTTTGGACCGCCAAACATTTTTCCCAACATACTATATATAGTAAGTTGTGTGCATCTGAGGAAGGTTTTACAAAATTATACTAGTGAGAATCTCTGGCAAAATTTACCATCTCCGGATAGAAGAAGCAACCTATTTACAAGGTGAGTGTTTCAAAACATCCTCTACATATGATGTATTATTAGTATATTAGTTGCTTTGTTGCTAATTGATTTATGAATATGTTTGTTACCCGGATTTAAGCTAAACCGAACATAGAGCTATCCAAATATCAAGTAAACTGGACATAGAGTTGTCCGGATTAATGTCTAACCCGGTAAAGAGTTGTCCGGATTAATGTCTAACCCGATAAAGAGTTGTATCTAGCTGGGGTTGACCGGATTTCATATCTAGCTGGTGTTGACCGGATTAATAAACCGGCTGGAGTTGACCAGATTATATATCCGGTTGGGTTATTGATTGAATTTTTATATAATTAGTTATATTATTATATGATTTTTATCAAGAGAGAGGAAATGGCAGTGTAACTGTGAGAGAGGAAATGGCGGTGTAATCGCGAGAGTGGAAATGGCGGTGTAACCGCGAGAGAGGAAATGGCGGTGTAACCGCGAGAGTGGAAATGGCGGTGTAACCACGAGAGAGGAAATGGCGGTGTAACAGCGATAGATAACTAATGAAATGATATATATATATATATATATATATAAAGGTTCAGGTTTGTTATAATCTTGGATTTTGAAATATATCATGTTGATAGGAGAAAGATTCATTCACTAGACCCTTTTTGGTCTAACGCTCAATTGTTGGACTAATCTATTTTGTAGGTCATCTATCATCACAAGACAAAGGCAAGGAGAAAATATAATGAAGTGTTATTTAGATGTGTGTGTTGTATCAGACAAAGTTTGTTTGTTAACCCATATTTTCTCATAAACAATACTATGTTTTGGGTTATAATTAAATGATAGATAAAGTTATGAATGATTGTTGTGAATTATACGTTGGATAGAAATGTGGGTTGTCACAATATAAAGGAGGGTCTTTTTTTAAGAATCATACATTTTGTAAGATCCATGAGATTCAATATAAATCATAAATTAAATTAGGAAATTAATAATTTTGGTAATTTTGAATTAAATTTTTAAATAAAGATTATTATATAATTTACAAATTTTCTCTTTCATCTCTCTTTTTTCCTCTCATTAACAAAATAATCTAAAAAAAAAGAAAAACTAAATCTTGCAAGTAACCTAACACATTGTGAACACTTAGTAACCTAACAAGTATCACCAGGTAACCCAACGTGATCACAAGTGAACATAATGTGAACACAAAAACACTAAAAACAATAAGATCAAAAAACTACAGATCACCAAATACATTTTTTAAGGACCGATACACACTCAAAATCAATAATCAAGTTTGAACATCCATCAAGCATCTCCTTAAACCCAAACCAAAAATCTATAGTACCATGATGTGAACCACTATCAAATATATTGTTTCAATTAAACATTGTGACCACTATTATTCTCACATTGTGATCATATATTTCTTTTACATATTGTGATTACCTTGTGAACACAATATAACACATCAACACTAAGAACAAAAAAAACAAAAGATCCCTAAAAGTATTGTGTAATGACTTGAATACACATTGTGAATACCTATATTTTTACACATTGTGATCATCTTTTGAACACAAGTGACATATCGACATTAAGAACTTAAAACAAAAAAAATCACTAGAAGTATTGTCTAAGGACTTGGATACACATTTGGACATTTAATTAATGTTCTATTTGAGAAATTGTGGGTTTTCTATAGATTTTCTATTTATAAAGAGAATAAATTAACTAAATGTATTTATGAATTGAATAAATTATCTTTTATTTTTATTTAATAAATAACATAATTATCTCAAATGAGTGGTTCATATTAGAACTCACAGATCTCATAAAGTTTAGGGTTCTCATTTGATTAAGCCCACATATATATATATATATGTGTGTGTGTGTGTATGTGTGCGCACGCATAGCTCATCAAAACTCCCCTACTCAGTGAATTGTATGGTATTGTAGTTGCAACTTATGATACCAGTCATGACGTGTTGTGGTTCATGTGGCGCATCGAACCCGAAGATCATCCCCTTCTTTACTCCTCTGGCAGCCTCCTACATCCCCTAATTGTGGCTGAGAAGCTATGTCCTCCTCGTACTTTAGGAAGATGAATTGTTTATGTCAGGACTACAATTTCAAGACACGATAAGAACAAAAATCAGCAACATAATGCCTGTAAATTAAGCATATCCACGATAAATCAAGTCTAATGTTTGTCCAACAACTGGAAACCCAAACTATATTAAATAATTTATAACCACACTATGATGCATTAAGGTCGAACAAGACCTATTAAGGTCCATTATGACTCAATTATATCTAATAAGACCCATTAAGATCCAACAAGGCCCATTGAGGTCCATTATGACTTAATTATGCCTAATAAGACCTATTAAGGTCCGACAAGATTCACAAGGTACACTTCCAGGGATGACCATGGAAACTTTAACGTATCTTTTAAGAAGACCATTTAAGAAGGTAAATTAAAGAATGTAAGAAAGACGGTCCATAAAGAATTCAATGTTGAATTCGAGTTATCTGGACCGAAAGCATCGATTTAGATCCCAAGACAAACATTTTGGATCTCTTCTGCAAAGATAGGGTTTGTGAAGTCAAAGCACTTCCAAGCCTCCATCACTTGAATGTACCATCATGCTTGGCTGTGTTTGATGATCATAGTGTTATGTCTTGTCTTTTGTAACAACCCACAAATTCCACATACAGATAATCCACATACAGATATTCATAAAACAAAATAATAGTATTGTTACAAAACACGGACTAACAAATTCCTTTCTTTAATACATTTATGAATAAATAAATGTCATCAACACTAAACTTTTCCCTTGCCTCTATCTTGTGAGGTATGATGACCTGCAAAATAGGTTAGTCCAACAACTGAGCGTTAGACCCAAAAGGTCTACTGAGTATGTATATAACTCATACCAACACCATACTTTCTAAACTAGCAGTTTAGAATCAAACTTGTATATCACAAACATTTTATCTATATCTATCACACCGCCATTTCATCTCTCTCGCGGTTACACCATCATTTCATCTCTCTCGCGGTTACACCGCTATTTCATCTCTCTCGCGGTTACACCGCTATTACATCTCTCTTGAGAAATTTCATATCAAAAGCTTCAACACATTAGCCGGATTTGAAGTCCGGTCAACCTTGTCCGGATATGAAATCCGGACAATTACTTAGAGTAGAAAAAGATAAATAGGACATGGCTTGAGCGGTTTAGCTCTTAATCCGGTTAACACTTGAGTGGTTTAAGAAAATATTCGGACAACACTTGGGAGGTTTAAGATAAACCGGTAAACACTTGGGCGGTTTAAGGAGATATCCGGACAACACTTGGGCGGTTTAAGAATAAACCGGTCAACACTTGGGTGGTTTAAGGAGATATCCGGACAACACTTGGGCGGTTTAAGAATAAACCGGTCAACACTTGGGCAGTTTAAGGAAAATATCCGGTCAACTCTTGAGCGGTTTAGATGAAATCCGAATAATATATGAAACATAATAAACCATTTCAAACAATTACAATTGTTATACCACAATTGATACATCAAAGCATAAAACACTCACTTTAGAATGATGATCGGATAAAGCCCGCAATTGTCCT